GAAGTAAAAACCAGAGAAAGCAGGGTACAACACACTAGGGTCATTTGGGGTACAGGTACGTAGGTATAGGGTGGTAAGTGGGTACAGGTATAAAAGGGGATGCAAAATTGGGGATCACAGGGATCTGGACAACCTTTACAGTGGTGTACACCTGTTCCAGATGGTCAGTGACACTGGCCAGTGGCTCCCTTAGTACTCGCCCTGGTTAATACACCCATCCTGCCCTTCGCTGCGCACCTTAGCCGAGTGCTGTTCGGCCGCAACGCAACAAACCTGGCTATGTTAAACACAAAATCCTCCAGGCCCCGCGGACGGTGAAATCTGGACCTGGTTGCTCCCCAGACTCCTCTGCGCCCTCCCGTTCAAGTGAGCCCTCGCAAGCCCTGGAGGGAGCCAGGCGGTCTCGGTGCAGAACCACCACCCTCCCTCGCTTCCCAAGCCGTGAGCCGGACACGGTAGCAGAGCTCCCCCACGACCTCCCAGGGTCCCGCCCAGGCCGGCGCCAGCTTTGGGCCGAGCCCCTTGCGGCCCCGTGGGTTATAGACCCAGACGAGGTCCCTCGGTCTGAAAGGAGTCCCTCTGCAGCGCAGATTGTAATACCGCTTCTGCTGCACCCCCGCCTTCCCAGCATGAACGAGGCTGGAGTGCACCCAGTGGACTCCTGCACACCCAGTGGACTCCTGCACAGCGGTCCGGTACGCCCAGAGGGTGAGAGGTAAGTGGCGGTCCCAGTCCCGCTGGTGCCACAAGACGAAGGTGGCCAGTTGAGTGGAGAGCATCCGGTTAAGATGCTCCACCAGCCCGTCGCTCTGGGGATACAGCGAGGTGGTCCACGTTTTTTTAATCCCCAGGCGCTGGCACACCCCCACGAACACCTAAGACTCGACATTCCACCCCTGGTCACTATGGAGCTCCTCCAGCACCCCCAGCCTAGTGAACATTCCCTCCAACAGGGCATCGGCCATGGTGGACATGCTCTGATTCGGGAGGCGGTAAGCCTTGGGCCACTAAAATAATCCACTGCCACCAGGACGGAGCTGTTGCCCACCTCGGTCCCCGGAAATGGGCCCAATATGTCCACCCCCACTTGTTCCATGGGCTCCCCCACCTGGTGCCATTGGAGGGGCGCTCAGGAGGGCCCTTCTGGGCCTCGCAGACCGCACACGTCTGGCAGAAACGCCCCACATCCCAGTGGCAGAGACCCTAATAGAAGTGGCCCTGGAGTCACCGCAGGGTTTTCGCGGAGCCGAAGTGCCCCACACCCGGCTTACCGTGCACCGCCTGGAGAACTGCCCCGCAGAGCGATCGTGGCACTACAAGCTGCCACCTGACCTTGCCGCTGGAGGGTATCCACCCCGTCCCTTACCTCTAAGGCCTCCCACAGAGCACAGAGAGCCTTCACGGACTTGGTGTGAGAGGTGAGCTCCTCCCAACTGAGCTGCCTTCCAATGGGGCACTGGCCCAATGTCGGGGTACTCCCGCTGCTGCTGCGCCAGGTTCACAAGGTCCACACCGAATGGCCGCTTCCCCCCAACCACGGGTGGCCTCCTCACGCTGCTCCCACTGGGCGCAGTAGCGGCAGTCCTCCAGCTCCTTGAAATTTAGCAGCCAGTTGAGGGACGCATGGTCCATCCACAGTTTGAAACTAGTTCCAAACAGGTAGGGCTTGAAGTGGCAGACTGCCGAGACCACAGCCAGCAACTCCCTCCAGGTGACACAATAGTTTCTCTCTGCTTTGCTGAGCGCCAGGCTAAAATATGCAACGACCCGTTCCCCATCTAGACCCTCTTGCGCTAGTACTGCGCCCACCCCTGCATCATGTCAGTATCTAGCACATATGGCAGCGTCGGATCTGGGAAGGCCAGGACAGGGGCCCCCACTAGCACCTTCTGCAGCCCCCAGAAGGCCCCCTCACACTCCATGTCCCACACAAAACGGCACCCCTTCTCCGTAAGGCGGTGCAGTGGGGGGGTGAGGCTGGCAAAGTCCCGGACAAACTTCGGGTAATAAGACGTCAACCCCAGGAAACTGCAGAGCTCTGCTATGGTGCCAGTCACGCACTGCAGCGACCTTCCCCAGGTCTGTGACACCCCTCGCGGGCCAACCATATGCCCCAGGAAAGTAACCTTTCCCAGGGTTGAGCTTCAACCCGGCCCGCCGGATGCAAGCCAACACTAACCAGAGGTTCGCCAGAGCCTGCTCGAAACCCTGGGCATGCACGAGTAGGTTGTCTAGATACACAAAGCATTCGCTCTAGTGGACCGATGCCAGCACTCGCTCCATCAACTGCTAAAACGTAACCGGGGCATTACACAGTCTGAAAGGCATGACCGTGAATTACCAGGTGCTCTGGTTTCATCCCACAGCCCAAAACCATGCTAGTAGGTTAATAGGCTTCTGAGGCTCAATAGGCTCAATAGGCTCAAGGTGTAAGTGTGTGTGTCTGTTTTTGTTTTCTGTTTGCCCTGCTGAAGGTAGTGTCCCAGGGGTGGTGCCGTGGCTCTGTGGCTAAGGATCTGTGCCTTCTGGTTGGAAGGCTATCAGTTTGCATCCTGCGGCTGGCAGAGGAATTCTGAGCAAGGCCCTTAACCCCAACTGCTCCAGGGGTGCCGTATAAATGGCTGACCCTGTGCTCTTTCCCCAAGCTTCTCTTCCTGTCTGTGTAACTCATGGAGAGCAAGTCGGAGTATGTGAAAACACAAATTCCTAATGCAATAAATTGCATAAGGCCAATAAAGTGATCTTATCTTATCCTGCCTCATGCCTGTTGCCTGCTAGGATAAGCTTTGGCTCCCCCATGACCTTGAATTTGTAGAAGAGTGTAGAAAATGGATGGATGAAAGAGGTTCTCCTAGCTCTTCAGGTGCTGATGAAACCTGTAAACCCCACTGAACAGGATCTAAAACTGGGCATCTCTGCTGCAAATGGTGAATAATCCCATTTCTGTGCAGCTGTAGCTCATTCTTAAACATTACACCATTCCATCATGACAGTTTAAAAGTCTCCTTGAAAGCTTAGTCATAATAATAAATGATAGTTTTATATAATTAATAGAGGTAATAGAGTGGTGAATTTTCATTCCTGGTCAGCACTTCTGCTGATCTAATAGGATTTGTTGCTGCAAAGATTGGTTATTTACAACCCATAATGCCGTGTACTGTACTGAATTCTTCTATGTTTTCTTCTCGCTGTCTCTCACGCTTGCAACAAGGGAAAGTGGTCTCTCCCTTGATGCCTGCGTCCCAACATGACATTATCTTCACAACTAAAGGAAGTCGGATGCTCAGATTGCAGCCATGCGTGCCCTGAAGAAAGCCCCCATGAGCAGGTTAAGGAAATGTGTGATGGAGGAATCAATGAGATCAGCTGAGATCAATGCTCAGCTGTCATGAAGCTCCTTCCTTCTCTCTCCCATGCTAACTGAGCCAGGAGGTAAGACAAATATTTTTCATCAAGAAGGTTTTGAAAGAAAAAGAAAATTTGGAAGTAAAGTGGAAACAGTGAGCTTTTCATTTGGTCTGGAAAGTCAGTTTCCTGAGAAGGAATGTCTAAAGAAGGCCAATGGGATTTTACAGTTACAGTTTCAGTGTAGATTTTAAGTTAACTTTTTGTTCCTGTTACCAAAGCAAGGAGAGGTGTAATGAAAAGATAAGGAGAGGAAATCAAGACATTAATGAGGTGCTGGATGAAGCAGCTAAGATAGTAAAGGTTTACAGAAACTTGGGCCCTGAAAGCTCTGAAGTGATCTAATCATCAGCAGTGATGTAATCCTGTGTCTGCTGTTTTTGTGTGGGAGCGTGGAACAAGCTACCTTGCCCTGTTGTTGAAGCTGAAACCCTGGTTTCTTTCAAGGAATTTCTGGATGAGATTCATGGATCATTCTGCAATGATCAAACAGGGCAGCTGGGCCAAATGGAACTCTTCTTGTTTGCACATAGGAACTTTTCTTATGTTCTTAATGCAGCAGTGAGGTACTCACAACAAGAAATTATATTTGTTTTTTATCAGTAGCTGTGTATTGGCCTGGGAGTCTTATTAATACATCTGTAAGAGATCATTTTCACACTGTCTGAGTCCTTCACTCACAAAATAAAAATGGAAAGCTTGTCACCTGTTTTTTGATTGGCTGTATACATGACTATATAAGCGTATTATTCACAGTTTCTTTAAGGATAATTCTAACAGTTAATAGCAAATACTTGCATTTGTGTGTTGATCAGCCCAAAGATAAGACCCCAAAGCTGTCAATGGGTGACACAAAGCTGCCATTCCAGTCCAGCAGCCCAACACACATAATTTACTCATTAATTCACTTCACTAGTAAATAGATAGTTTTGCAT